ATATCTACAGAAAGAAAATATTATAATTTTATTGTAATTGTTAAACATAACTGTTTACGTAAATCATTTAAACTTTACGAAACAGATCAACTTATAAAGCTAAACATGAAGTTCTTTTATATTGCTTAGAGATTTAAATAAGCTTTATTTTCAGGGTGAGTGTATGTATAAATATATTCATTATAAAAATGAATTAGCGACAAGTGTTTTACATATAAAATGTCAGTAAATCCAAAAATTATGTCATGCAAGTTATATATATAAGCAAACCTATAATCAGTATGCTAAATGTGTACTAAACACAATCGTATACTAACTGTCTCGTTCAATATTTATAAAAACGAATCATTATGTGTGATAAAACTTTTCAGGATGTATATCAGTTAGAGAAGCAAAACTAAGGAATTAATGAATTAGTGAAGTGTTTTACACATAAAATAACTGATAATTGTAAAAGGTGTTATGCTATAATATTTTCCTCGTTCAAATAATAGATAATTTAAGATAGTATGTGTGATAAAAACTGAAATATGTAGCAGAGTTATAGTAGTTGTCTCATTAAAAAATGGTTTTACTTGTAACTTTTAGGATATACAATTAAATCTAGACATTGATGACGAAATCACAAGTTGAAATATCCTACGATGAGCTTATCTTCCCATTGAACTATCTGTTTATAGTTAACACAATCTGCCTTAGCAGCACTAACCATAGTAACACCATCCGCCTTTGTAAAAAGGTATGTAATTAAATATATAGACAAAAAACTATAAAGTTGATAACAACTAGAGATTAAAAATAGCAGATTTAATGTTTTACTTATAACGCAAAACTGTAATTGTGATAAAATATTTTCAGTACTGATAATTATAAACACAATGTTATGCAAATTAGATAAATTATAAATTTTAAGACTTTGATTGTTACTATAAAGTTCATGGCATATTAAGACACAATGATCTACATCACCCTCTGGTGGTTCGCTTGGGAACTATCTGTGTGCTTATCATAGCAATACACCCTCTGGTGCTACTTTGTGGAATTAAGATGTCAACTTCCCCTCAGACAACAGCGCTCTGTTGTCACTTCGTGGACGGAATCGTCTCTGAAGCCTACTAGTAACAGTTATGTAATCCTCAGGCGTCAGCATCCTTTGTATATTATGTAACCCTCAAGACTATTGAATATCTTATCAATTTCACCATAACTACCATTAATTGTCTCTCCAGTTTCATTCTACCTATAAGTAAGTATCTCACCATCATCACATCAGAAACCACCAGTTTCATTATAATCTCGAGTAATTTGCTCATCAACCTCATTGTGCCAACTTAACTGAACCTTCTAGTAATTGTTTGATAACTTTGATTAATAACTTTTATTAGTAACTCTCTTATTAACTTCAACTTATATCCCATTAATTGTCTCAACAATTTAACTTTCCCTATCACTAACTGTCTCATTAACTTCACTGACAGTACCAGTAACTGTATAATCAGCTTCATTTAACAGAAAATTAACTAAGTCGCCAGCTTCACTGTATCTATCAGTAGCTGTCTTACTAATTTTATTGAACATACCAATAACTGACTTGTCAGCTTCACTGTACCTACCACTAGCTCTATCAACAACTTCATTGTACCTAACTAACAATAGCTGTCTTACCAGCTTCATTGTGACTGCAAGCAGCTGTCTTATCAGCTTCACTGCATCTATCAGTAGCTGTCTCATCAGCTTCACTATACCTACCCAGTTGCTGTTTTACTAATTTCATTGTAAATACCAGTAGCTGCATCACCAGCATCACTATACCTACCAGTTGCTGTTTTACTAATTTCATTGTAAATACCAGTAGCTGTCTTACCAGCTTCACTGTATCTGCCATTAGTTGTCTCAATAATTTCATTGTACATACCAGTAGCTGTCACACCAGTTCCACTGTGCCCACAAATTTTAGGAAGAAAGGTTATAATAAAGCTTTCACATCAGTTGTGCTTGGAGATATATTGATGATATTCTTATACGTAATTGCAAGGTTTTCTTGACACGTCCAAACAAACATATTCACCAGAACTCATTGTGCAGAAAAAAAAACTTTTTCCCTTTTACTTTTAGTTTCAATAAAATCAGTACACTTTCAACATTGAAGTTATAAACTTCCCATTTATAAATACAAGTATTCCAAATAAGTTATGTTACAATGTTTACCACACACACCTTGTCAGATACAGAGAATTTGTTGTACATTAACAGTCTTCATGTAAAAACCAGGTTTCTCCTTTTGCATTTGGAATACAAAATATATATTTAATTTTGCAGGAAATCCAACATCATCAATTCTTATTTGAATATATCTACACCACTGAGCTACTGAATATATGTATTATCAACAAATGAGTGAAAGATCTTAGTTGAATATTTTCCAGAGCTCTTACTGAGCTTCATTATTCATTTGGTGAATTGATAGTTTATACTTTTGACTTACTTTCTTATAAATATATATTCCCCTCCCCCCTTAAAAAACTTAATGATTTTATTGTTATCCTAAATATAACAATTACGCCATTATATAAAAAACACGTTTCTGTTCTTGACTGACCTACAATTACACCATCTTTCTCCTGTCTGACATATCTTCTAGCTACACTGACTGGCCACTTTATTAGGACCTTCACCTTTCGTCGTGATATACCACAAGTTTCTTATTTTTGTAGTATTAATAATTATTCTTAAGTTATTCTTAATTATGAATATGTCCAGGTTTTCACAAGCCAAGTGATCAAAAAACGAGTTCATCTTGCTTTAAGCTACCTTTGTTCCTTTGTCATTTTCAAAGTATGTTATACTTGTTACCAGAGAAAATTACTTAAAGGGACCTCATTTCAGGATGTCGAAAGCAATGTCCTTTACTGGTTGTTCGGGTAATATCTAGAAATCACGTTCCCCTTTGTGTGTGGAATGAGAATGACCAGCAACGTGGTAATGCAGTGGCGTTAGGTAAAAGCAAGGTTTCGTTTTAAATAGAAACTTTTCATTTAGTTAGTCTTATTACAAAACTGATCAGGATCTTCATGTAGTTCTGAGTCAAGTTTGATGTCAATCTTAATTGATTATTATTCTACTTAATTTCCCTCAAGTAATAAACGAGAAATCTATAAGAATAAGTACCATCTATTGCTCCCTAAGAGAGTATACACACTTGTTTTCGTTTTAAATGTTTTACACTTTGTGTCCAGTCTGTTTATTCCTTAATGCCAGCTCAGCCAATACCAATTCAGCAATGTTTACCAATTCCATATCCTGTTCGAATCTGCTGTTGAGCTGACTTATCCAATGAAGCTTTAAAGTACAATCAGTTCACCCGAGAGTACCACATTAGAATGGACTCACCACAACATAGAATCTCCACAATGCCTTTAAGTGTCTTGGTTGATTGTAACCCAATGACTTAGAGATTTGGCAAAATGTAACCTTTGACTTAAATCCAAAAATATCTAAGGGAGTTGGATGATTATGCCTTTCAATCCCATTTCAGATATTATGAGTCCAGTGAATTGTTTTATTCCAGTTTTGGAAGAGTCCTCAGCACCAATAAGAAAATATGGCATTGTAGGAATAGAATGCTAGAACATTGGCCACACTATTATACTACCTTCAGCAGTTTGCACTAACAGAACAAAATGAGCAGGGCTAAGTGTTTCCTGAGTTTTTTGCTGTATTTTATTCTATCATGAGTACAAAAAAATGGATGAGACATAACTCATTAAATTGAATTCATGTTTCTAGTTATTCATTATCTACAGTTTTTTTGTTGTTGTTTTTTTGTCTACGCGCCACGAAAGACGTGTATTCATGTCTGTATTTGAAATAAACGAATTATGGATTTGTGTTTGTAATACCCCTCAGGCATGGCCTAGTTAATGATAGTCAAATCCTGGGATATAGTCTGATATATGTTCAATCGTATTTTCCCTTAACCAAACCAATGGTTGGCAGTCATAGTTTTCTATAGTGGTAAATGTATTCCTTTTCGAATGTCACTCTTGACAGCCTCAGCACTCGTTCAAGGAAATGAAATACTTTCCAATGCTACATGGGCACCGACTATCATGTCCTTTTGAAAGCCGTAAAGAACCATGCTATGGTTACATCTCTGCATTTATGAGGATTAATCAATCCTCATAACTTCACGTTATCAGCTTATTTTTCATATACAAATAAATAAACTGTACTATTTGTTTCTTTGAAGTTAAGCACAAAGCTACACAATGGGCTATCTGTGCTCTGCCCACCACGGGTATCGAAACCCAGTTTCTAGCGTTGTAAGTCCGCAGACATACCGCTGTGCCACTGGGGGGGGGGGGCTAATTGTTCTATAAATGTATTTTTTTATGCATTGTGTACTGGATTTGCTGTACTCATAAAAGCGTTGTTAGTTCGGTTTTTTTTGTTTTTGTTTTACTAATAGGTTTTGTCCACAGTTAGTATTGGTAAAGTAATTGTATGTATATGACCAGTCAATAATATTTATAAACTTGAACTACTTTATTTTGGACACTGGAAGATGTTAGAAAATAAAATGAGAAATAAATATTATTTTGAATATCAATTTCATTTTTAAGCATTAGGGAAAATAGTAAATCCTGAAACGAGTAACATTTCTTTTCAAATTGCACACAACAGTGATAGGTTTTATAAGACACTGAATTCTTTTAAATTTTCATTCTATATAAATTTTGCATGCCTATAAGTAGATAGATAATGAGAAGATTTCGGTTTTTGATGTTTCTTCTCATTGGCCCCTTATAGCCAATCACAATCTTCTTCGCTGTAGCTTTATATATGCTTAAAAATAATAAAGTATTTTAGTCTCTTGTAACTTAAAATAAAAAAAATATTGAAATAAATTAGTTTTTTTATAAAAAATATTAGATACTGCGTAATATTATCATTTAAATTCATTTTATTTGCTTTCCTTTCAACTAAATGTTTGCCGTGTCTGTAATTTACGTAAAACTGGAGAATATCGCGATAATCAAATACAGTGAAAGCAGTGACATAAGTTCAAGTTACTCCAACAATATTTGCTTTTTTTTGGAACTAAAAAGGTTTGTGTTCCTCAAGAGGTTGAGATCTAAATGTTTTACTTCTGGAATTTTTAATCATACCTAATGTCGAAATATAGCAATACACGGAAACGTGGAAGCTTTCTTTTGACAGTTGTAGTTTCACAATACTCGTAACTATATAAAGTAAGTAGTCTGGAATTGTAAGTTATATATCAGATGTTCGTTGTTTTAATGCAGTTGCAAAACCTTTAAACCACTTTGCAACGGAGAACTCACAAACTATGCAGAGCATGTTAATGGTTGTCATGGATAGTAACCTATACAGACAGAGAAAATAGTCCTTGTCAGGACTTTCCTGAAGACGGCAGCAGATTATAAGCCGAAACACCGAATACACTATAATTAATAATAATAGTTACTATTTGATAATTACACTTAGATGATCGTATGGATTATTAATAATGACAACGATTGTTATCTGTTGCCACAACTTTATTATAAATAATCTTAGCATGTTAATGGCTAGTTATACTGTACTAACCCTTTTAATTCTAAACTCTACCTTACTTTAACCTTTGGCTTTTGTACTTCAAATTTACCATCTCACGTTGTTCTGACCTTCAATTTTGCCAAATTAAATTTTCGAGTACACAACAAGAAGACACCCCAGAAATACGTTGTGATTATTCGTTGAGATTCAAAGTGCTCGTGTGTCCAACCTTTTAATTACCAAGTGTTTTTCATTGTTATGTATATTCTACATTTAAATACGATGGTGTCCGAGAAAGATTTTCTTTATTTTCTTGAATACTTTTACTCTTTGCATCACTCGTCAACGCATGCCTGAGAATCGTTCTTCCAAGACCTTGCCCAATAAAAGAGTCCATCTGCAAGTCTAGTTTCTGATTCTGGCTTCTTCGGAAACAGCATACGAGTCGATTGGCGGCTTCTCTAAACTCTCGCATATGGTAGGCATATAGAAAGGGATTCACAGCAGAGTTGGCATGGGACAGAACTATAAAACAATCCAGAAGCCAGGACGGTGGCACGCACGTGCGGCAGAATGCCTGAATACAGTTGATGGTGTACAGAGGAAGCCAGCAGATAACGAAAAACAAGACAATAATAGATAGTTTTTTGGCCTTACTGATGTCTCTCTTGTTGTGGTTGGAAGCTTGCTGAAGCGGGACTGTGGTGGAAGAAATGATGTCCCTATTGAATGAGCTGGATACCACATAGGTGCTGGGTGCTTGTTCGAGAGCAGATATCTGTCGCACCTTAAAAGAAGTAGAAGAAATAGATCAAAAACAGTACTAGCTGATTAAAGAAAATCGGGTTCGTATACCCTCGCTAAAGGTAGAATAATGTTTCATTGAGGGAAAGACTTTAAACTGTTTTTTTCTTTCAGATTAATAAATTTGTGATTTTTTGAAAAAAGGTTTGAATTATATATTTTCTCAAAAGAAAGTAAAACTAGACGAAATTTATTTAGCATTTTAAATTCGTATTAAATTTAAAACCACTCTTTAATATCCATATTAAACTGGAAAAAAGTAATGCAATAAAATATCTTAGATATGTAGTATGTAAAGCTATGGAAGCTGGAAAATTTATGAACTTCATAAATATTCGAACTTTATACATCAGAGAATGTCAAACTATACATTGCTTGGTAAGACATCGCAAAATTCTGTTAATTTATTTATAATTCCGTAAAATCTAACCCGAACCTCATACAAAGTATAAAACAATGCATAACTGATCAGAAGAAACAGAATAACAAGAAAAAAATCTCCTTTTATAGATTATTTAGTACAGAAGGAAAAGGAAGTCTTTCGAAATGTCGTTTTTTCCATTTGTGTTCATTTTTAGATTAATACTCCTTGACGTTCTCCGGCTAGGCAGTTACTACTCATTTCCCTTTTGTTCATCAAGAAAGAATGTTTTTCTTCTTTTGAAAGTGTAACTTAATTCAACGTATAAGCTAATTCACAAAGTATTCTCAAACATGTATAAAATGTTTTTGTTTAGGTGTTAAGTGCCAAGCTGCACAATGTGCTATCTGTGCTGTGCCCACCGCGGGGATCTAACCCTGGTTTTTAGCGTAATAAGCCCCCAAGCTTATCGCTGAGCCATTGGAGTACATGTTTAAAAATTATTTAACTTATTCTTAATGACTTAATTACTTGTCTCAGGAATTTTCAGGAATTTAGCTATATATATATACACTCTTATTTTATGACGTCAATAAAGACGACAAACTTATCATACTCAATAAGCATAATACAAATATGCACGCTAAAAATCAAAAAGTACAGAGAGTTTTACTTTAAAATAAGGAGAGAAACGTGTAAGATGCCAAATCAGAAAATGACCAACCCACCAAATTGTTCATCTTTCTTCTTCTTGTTTCAGTCGAGATAACTCTACAACTACTTTATCACTAACATCAGTTTAAACCTAAATCCACTCTATGTGTTTCTGGGCAGTGCACGATGTCATCGCTTAGTTGTAATAACCAGTAGTTATTTTTAAAAGTCATAAATCTAATCGAAACGATGTTATCGTTACCCCTTGAAGTTAACTTTTTACAGCTTTTTTACCTAAATCCACTCTATGTGTTTCTTGGCAGTGCACGATGTCATCGCTTAGTTGTAATAACTAGTAAATTTTTTAAAAATCGTAATTCTAGTTTGAACGATGTTATCATTGCCTCTTGAAGTTAGCTTTTTTACAGATATCTGATGTTCCTTCAAAGAGCTTAAATACAGGGTGAAACAGGAATTATCAGCCAATAACAGATGAACATTAGATGACTGTAACATGAAAATGCTCAATGCTTTGTACACTATACAATCAGTATCTTTAGGGAGCCAACCCCTGTATTATATACCAAGTGAAGGAGTGAAAAAATCAATATATATATACACCTGGAAAAAAGTTAAGCACCCCCAAATATTTTTCAGGATTGCTTA